CACCTGGCCATGCCTGGGCCCAGGGGATTGAGCAGCACTTTTATAACGCATCTATGGCATCAAGGTGGGGAGCGCAATGTTTTTTTTGTTTTTTTTCTGGAGGTAATGGGACACTGACCATGGATACTCAGTTTCACAGTCCGGCACGTTAACCACTGGGCCGCGTTGAAATTGTTAAAATTTATAACTCCAAGTTACCAAAAGTATGCTTTTATGTGTTGAAAGGTTTGGATGAAAAATTAAAAGTTACTGGGCTACAAAAATTGAGAATTTTTCACACCTGGTTTTGTTGGTGTTTGGATAATGCATGACGTAAGTAACGAGCAGTTTTTTGGAAATAATTTATCAAAGGATGTCTTATATATATATACACATATATATCTTCAGGGGTGTATCAACAGTTTCCAAGAGAACTAGTGGTGTGAAGAAAAATAAAATCCCTTCGCAAACCTGAAAGATACTTATGACATAGTATTTTTTAATACAAAAGTTGTTTATAGCAAAACTTACAATTAGTAGTTATCAGTTAGAAATAAAAATAGACAGACATATATAAATACTAACAATATATATTTTGTTTTTATTGCCTCGCTAATAATAATATTTTTGTTATGGAAAGGTATAAGTTATGTTGTTAATTGCGTCGCTAATAATAATAATAATAATTTTGTTATGGAAAGGTATAAGTTATGTTATTAATTGCGCCGCTAATAATGATAATAATAATAATTTTGTTAAGGAAAGGTATAAGTTATGTTATTAATTGCGCCGCTAATAATGATAATAATAATAATTTTGTTATGGAAAGGTATAAGTTATGTTATTAATTGCGCCGCTAATAATAATAATAATAATAATTTTGTTATGGAAAGGTATAAGTTATGTTATTAATTTGTAACGAAATTACTTTAGTTTTATTGATTCAAGCCAAATTATGAGAAAATTATTAAAATTAAACACCGCAAAATATTTTCGTTTAAAAACAGCATTATGAACAAAAATTAACACAGCTTATCCAGTAATATGATGTGGGCTTGTATTCATCACACGATGGGCTTCATGACTAAACCGTTTGAATAATAAATAACCAATAGGGTACGGTTGTTAGACTGTCGCATAATAAGGCCTGACATGTAAAGGCTCGCCATTTTTATTACAAACTTACATAACTTTGCAACGGAAATCCTCATGGTTCTTAAATCGCAAGCGTCATTTCCGGTGTGTAACATAAGCTACAAGGTAAAGTCTGCCGCTATTACATACATGAAGACTTGTAAGCTCTTTAATCATGCGCACACTCACAACATTAACCAGTAGGCATTCACTGCAACGTTCAGCACATAAACTTTTTAAATAGATGTAAGTTGTACGAGATAAATAAGCATATTAATATATAATTAATATACTGATAAAGGCTAACATGTGTAAAGATTTCATGAAAATCATGCATTCTTCTTTAGGTTCAACATACAGCTATATATATGTACCTACTTTTACAACGATAACATATTAAATTTTACAAAAGTCTAATAAATACTTGCTTGAATGTCTTGTCCACAAAAGAAAAAAAAAGTTTCTTCCTCGGGGGAATAAATAAATCGAAATTGCCGTAGCTATGTAACATTACAAAAAGTTTTAATTCCATCATTGCCGATTTTTATTGCAACTGTAAGCTGACTTCTACAGCCTCCCCTCCTCCCAATATACACATCAAAGCACTTACACTTTCAGACAACAATGACCCTTTCTGCATTCGGTTTCTACGCCTAAATAAAACATTTAAGGCCACGGTTGACTAAATTATGATTGGATCTGTAAATCAGTAGCCTGTGCAATATTACATCACAAAAAGATTGATAATAATTAATTATTTTTTTTTACTGGCCCTTTTGGTTTCCAAATAAGAATACAATACCAGTTAAACAACACACTCTGCATCACACACGCCGTTGTCTTTTGCTCAATGCCAGAACTCTTCAGGTCATTTTGACATGCAGCACACAAAGTCTCCGTGTAACGCTTTTTTTAACAGTCTTATGAGACTGGTAAAGAAAATTTTGTTTGTTTGTTTTAGGTCAAAGCTACACAATAAGCTATCTGCGTTCTAGGCACCATGAGAACTCGAACCCTGAATTTTAGCGTTATAAGTCCGTAAACTTAAGAACAAGTAATGCAAAAAGTGCTTCGACAGCATAATGCGTTATATACCATATTGTGGGTATTATTTCATTAACATGCACAACTATACCTAGACACCTTTATTACACATGCTGTTGGATTATAAATAACGTATACAGACGATTAGCTTTTGTTCGTTTCGAACATATTTTAAAAGTAAAAAAATATTCCTTGTTTGTTTGTTTATTCTTCATCGTTTTAATAGATTCATAAAACTTCCAAAAGAGTAACGAGAAAGGTTAATTTAACGATCTGGTAAATCACTAACTTGTGAATTTGTTGAATGATTGTTGTTGTCTGCCCACCACGGGTATCGCAACCCGGTTTCTAGCGTTGTAAGTCCGCAGACATACCGCTGTGCCACTGGAGGGGTGGGGGGTGAGGGGGCTTGTTGAATGAAAAAAAATAATCCGTGATTCAAATAAATACCTGTAAACAACTTTCTTGTGGAATATTTCATGATTGAAAATTTTATATCTTTATTCTAGTTTCTAGACATATCTTGAGTTGTTATGAATTACAGATTTAAATCTTTTTAAATGTTTAATACCATTATAAAGTCACGTGGTTTTTACGTCATACCAAATATTTAATCAATCCTGAAAAATGAAATGGACATGGCAGTGCTTGATGTTTGTTCTACATTAAATGCTCAATTTTCACTTTAAAAAAAGGCCCCCAGTGGCACAGCGGTATGTCTGCGGACTTACAACGCCAGAATGCGGGTTTCGATACCCGTAGTGGGCAAAGCACGGATAGCCCATTATGTAGCTTTGTGCTTAATTACAAACAAACAAACAATTAAAAAAAAAGCAAACGACGTATAACTTTGTTCCATTGCAAAGCATTTTGTCCCTGTTTATCCTTACAGCTGTTTAAAATGAAAGTGGCTTGGGGAAGGGGACTCTTCCAATGTAACACGAGGAGTCTATGAAAATCCTTTGAAAGTTTCAATGTGTTTTTCTTAAATTTGTTACACTTTTTGAAATAACACCATTAAATCTTTTAATGTTTTTACAATACTTATAAATAAAGTTATAATCACTTGATGCCTTATTAGTGACAGGTTATGCTCAAAAATCAAGATTGGACAAATATCTTTTATCACTACTTTTTGTCTCCAGTGGCTCAGTAATAAGTCTGAATTCTTATAACGCTCAAAACCGAGTTTCGATATAAAGAGCGCATTGTGTAGCTTTGTGCTCAGAGACGTCGCTAGGTGCTTAAAAGATTCGAAGCAGGAAGTTTCGGCGTTTTAGTATGATATCGATCATGGTTTTCTGTTGTAACTTTTCAAGACACTAACTGGAAATTCGGGTCAAACAGAATCGAGACATGGGCTCTGTTTGGGGCGCTTAACAACAAACAAAAAAAATATTTTTTCATTAATGCGAACACGTTGTTGAGTAATAGCCTTACGCAGAAACAACAACAACAAAAAACACCCAACTTTGTACTCCGACTTAACACATATGATACTTTCCCGTTACTCCACTGGATTTTACTAGAAGTGAATAACTACTTTGTTTTGTCTGAAATATGCCAGTGTCACTGTTTAATTGACAGTGCTTGCTATATAGTTGAATTAAGTACAAGTTCAATGGTAATTATCAATACTCACGTTTGCAATTTTTGTTTTTACTCCAATTGAAACCTAATAAAAAAAAAAGTTTTTTCGTTGTTTGTTATTAAGCAAAAAGCTACACAATGGGGTATCTGTGCTCTACCCACCACGGGTATCGAAACCCGAAATGTAGCGTTTTAAGCTGTGACACTTACTACTGAGCCACCGGGGAGAGTAAAAAGTTCTTCCTGCTGGTGTTCTAGGGGCAAAACTAGAGCTTAATTGTACTTTTTTTTACTTCAATATTAAATATCAACACACATTGTATGACACATAAACTATATATACAGCTAATATGTGGTGTAAATATGTTCAAGTACTGCTTTTTTGTGATTATTTTATTAATATACGTATTTATTACACATATATCTATAGTAACATTATCAAAATATTTATTACAGGTGGCGCTTACAAATCCAGATGACGTCTTGCACAACGCTAGAATTGCAGCTTTGAGCAACAACAGTGAGATCAAGCGACGCTAAGCCGTTGCTATGGTAGTTATCTAAATACCAAAGAAACAATTTTTCAAGTTTATCACACAGTTTCTAATTTACAGTTATCTGAATAGTGCATTATAATATGGAGTTTAACAAAATTTACGTAGCACAGAATTGATATACCAAGTACCGAAAGCACTGCTCGTATTAAAACGTTTCTCTTTGTCTGCAACAAAATTACTTCTTCTCGGGACAAAAAGCAATGAAATAAATGTACGTGTCTATTTGCACGAAGAATCGTGATGTGTTTATAACAAAAAATATACTGCTATAGAGATTCATAATAGTCCGAAAATCAAATCAAATCTCAGAAGTATGGTTTTGGTTAAATTTCGCGCAAAGCTACACGAGGAATATCTGCGATCGGAAGACAGCAGCTAGCCATTATCATCCACCGCTAACTCTTGGGCTACTCTTTTACCGTTTCATTATAACACCCCCACGGTTGAAAGGATGAGCATATTTGGTGGGATGGGGACCCTCAGATTGTGAATCGAGCGCCCTAACCACCTGGCCCAGAAATAGGGTGTTAAAAATTCTGTTTTGGGCATCACTGTCCCAATACAGTTGAAGTATACAAGAGTTAAAAAATAAAAATAACAAACAACTACATTAAAAGGGGGCGTTCATGTCGCAGGCTTCACACGGATGGCGGAATAGTGTACATGTTGCACCACTCACAAACAATAATGACAAAAATTGCTCAACATGGAATGCGGATTACCTTAAATTAATTCAATTATGAAATAACTTTTAAGCTAAAAGACAAAACAATAGAACTGAAGTTTAGAAAAAAATAATTATAAAATGAGTGCCAGATTGTTCGACACCCATGTGAAAGACAATTCTTGGAGTCAAGGTTAAGATAATAAGATTTTACTAGAAACGTGTGACGAATGTCAGTAAGTCAATAAAGTATCATCTTGTTTTACTGTAGTAGTGTTTGCTCTTTCATGGTTACTCAAGAGTTTCATGTACCTTACTTTCTTTGCTTGAGAAGACATAATTGTGTATATTCTCATTTCACTGGTCCTTCATTACAGTTACCGAAACCGAATTTTAAACGTTTTCATTACTTTTATGAGACAGTCACTTAATCATTAGGGTTGTACGAGCCATAGTTGTAAATGTACCCGAACTGTGAATCCAAGAATTCATGGCTCGCGACCCGCTGCTGTAAAAACACATTTGGGGTAGTGTTTGTTTGTTTTTGAATTTCGTGCAAAGTTATACGAAGACTATTCGTCTCTACTTTAGCAGTGAAAGACTAGAGGGAAACAGCTAGTCATCACCACCCACCGCCAACTCTTGGGCTACTCTTTTACCAACGAATAGTGGGATTGACCGTCATTTTATAACGCCCCCACGGTTGAAAGGGCGAGCGTGTTTGGTGGGACAGAGATTAGATAGAACCCGCGACCCTCAGATTGCGAGTCAAGCGCCCTATCCACCTGGCCATACTGGACTTGGAGTCGTGAGTGGTAAAATCCCACCATTCGATCAGACAAGAATGGCCCATGAGTCGGCAGTAAATACTGTTGACTCGCAGGATTGTCAGACAAGAATGGCCCACGAGTCGGCAGTAAATACTGTTGACTGGGCCATTCTTGTCTGACAATGCTGCGACGAGTCGGCAGTAAATACTGTTGACTCGCAGCATTGTCAGACAAGAATGGCCCACGAGTCGGCAGTAAATACTGTTGACTCGCAGCATTGTCTTTAGTCTGTCAGATCAAAATTTAAAACAGCTTTATGCGAAATAAACAATTATCATTAGGAACATATAATATACAAAATACGCGTTATGGTTTATGGTAAATCACAAGCACGTTTCACATTTACTGTCAAATGACATTTTGGGCACTCGAGTAATGAGAATGATAGCTTTTTTTATGGTTGCAAAGTTGTCAATACAGTAGAAGTTTGTATTCAACTAAGCATTACCATAAAGATATGTTTTTAAATTGGTATATATCGATTTGTAGCCACTGACCTGGTCTTTTCCCTTTGAATTTCATTTTCCCCGTCTTCAGAACTGAATATAAAGAGTCAAGTTAATTTATAATATAATGCCTTTTTGTTCATAATGGCTCGTTGTAACGGAAAATTAACAAAGACTGTTTATGAAATGTATACACTTAACATAAACAACTCCTCTGGTTGTGAGTACCATTGATTTGGGAATGCTCCCACTTCTTGTTTTTTTTTCTTCTTTTTTTCGAATTTCGCGCAAAGCTACTCGACGTTTGTCTGCACAAGCTGTCCCTCATTTAGAAATGATAGACGAGAGGAAAGGCAGATAGCCAACACCATCTCTTTTTTCAACGACCGTCACATTATAACACCCTCACGGTGAAAGGGCGACCATGTTCGGTAACAGGATTCGAACTCGCGACCTAACCACCAGGTCATGACATCCCTAGCTTCTTGAGACGTTTATAACAAAATCTCAATTACAATCGACTTCAGTTTTTCACACATACAAAAGTTAGTTTTGTTTGTCTTGAATTTCGCGCAAAGCTACACGAGGGCTATCTGCGCTAGCCGTCCCTAATTTAGCAGTGAAAAACTAGAGGGAAGGCAGCTAGTCATCACCACCCACCGCCAACTCTTTTACTAACGAATTGTGGGATTGACTGTTACACTATAACGCCCCCACGGCTGAAAGGGCGAGAATGTTTGGTGGGACGGGGATTCGAACCCGCAACCCTCAGATTGCGAGTCAGGCGCTCTAACCACCTGGTCAAAAAGAAAAGTTTCAGTTCTGTGTATCTGACATAAAATCTTCCATTCAAATAACATTGAACTAACCCTTAAAGATTATCCATCTAATAGACCCCGAAATGCGACAGTTTAGATGGTTGTAATGTAAGGGAGAGAAAATGTTACGGTTTGAACAAGGTCTCATAAACATGAAGAAAAAAAGTGTTGGTATTAATA